CAGGGAAAGATTCATTAAGGCACTTAATTGGGTTTAAGTAGTTCACCCTGCTCTGACAGTGCTTAAATGCGGTGACTTATGCACTTGTGCTCTGCCAGCAGCCACCAGCTTTGTGCCTGGGCATCCCCAGCAAACCTGCTTCCCACAGCATGGAATCATGGAAGTGTTCAAGTTGGAAAAGGCCTTGAGTCCACCTGTTAACCCAAATCCCAAAGTCAGCTCCTCGGAGAGCTTCCAGAAGGGCAGGAGGGAGCTGGGCAGCTCAGGGGGCAGAGGGTCACAGAAGCCTCGAGGAGCCAATATGCCGAAATTGAAACTGACTCTCTCTGGCCTTTCATCTCCTCAAATAATTTCTAGCTGTGATTGGGGAGCCAAAGGCCAGTCCCAGCACACCCAAGCAAAGAGAAAAATTCCTGGGTGTGTTAATTAACTCTTCTTTTTCTCTTGGCTGAGTTCAGAGAGGTCACTGACAAGTGGCTCTTCTGGGTTTGCTCTGGGTTGCACCAAGTAGTGACCAAGCAACCCATTATTAGAAAGGGGAAGGTTTTTCAAGGTCGAGGGGAATACAGACACTCAGACCTCTCTGGAGGCACGTGGCTGTGCTGGGCAGGCAGCGAGGGAGCTGTGCCCAGCTCTGCCCTGGGGCACAGCCCTAGCCTTTGAGCCTGGTGATCCCTGACCCTTCTGAACAGCACAAGAAGGTACAGAACCAACCACAAAGTTCTTCACTTTTCTGCATGAATTTTAGACAAAAAGGCTGAACTGTGTTAGCTGACCCGGTGAGGAGCAGTTGGATCCCTGCTGAGCAGGTTAATGCTCCCAAGATGCATTTAGAATCATTCCTGGACAGGTTTGTGTGCCTGGAGGAGTGTGTCTGGTTTCCAGAGCTGCAAAGCCCAGTTGGGGCTGGCAGCGAGCCCCAGCTCTGGCTGGGAGCTGAACCCACATCACAGACTAGACATGAGACACTGAGCTGTCACTTGCCCCCCAAAAACCCTGTCCCTATCCCCACACAGCTCCTCCTGGTCCAGCACTGCCAGAGCAGCACAACCAGCACATCCCTGGAGCTCCCACGCGATGCTGTGGCATTGCCATGGCAATCAGCACTACAGAGGGGGCTAAAAATAACGCCCAGCTCTGCAAAGCACAAAGCCCAGCCTGAATCCCAGCCCTGACTCAGCCACCTCCAAACCTGGGGGTGTTGAGTCCTTGCTCCCCCACTGCACAGAGGGATACTCCTACTGGTCCTCTCCAAAATTCAGCTCCTCCTGCACAGGTACAGCATTTGCCTCAGTCCCCTGAGTCACCAAGAGTGCCCAGAGCAGCAGAGGAGCAGGTGGGCATCGCTCCAGAGCTGTGATCATCCAGGAAACCTCTTGATTTCTCCACAAACCTTAAAATCCAACCAATTCTCACTGTCCTGAGCAGCATTCCACCTCCATGTGGAACCCACTCCACCTCCATTCCACCAAAAGACTCAGTCAGTTGGGCAAACCTCAAGCACAGAAAGAGAACACTTGTCAGTGACTTGTCACACATCACCTTGCCCAAACTATACCAAAATTAGCCAAGAAAGCCAAGTGCAAGAGCAGCATGAAATACCCAGGGAGCACCTGGAAGCAGATCTGAGGGATAAAAGCTTCTCAGGAAAATCAGTCTTGGCCATAAACATGACAAGAGGCAAGGGCCACCATGGGCAGAGCTGTGGGAACAGAAGCCCATAGTGCTGAGCTTCCCTTTCCCCATGGCATTGCCTGTTTCCATGGACAAACACCAGCACAAGGCCTTGGGTGTTGGTGGCCTGGTCACCATGCCCACATGGCCACGGTTGGGTGGACATCCATGTCAGAGCCATGAATTATGCATGGCAGCCTTGAATTACTTCTGGTGCTGCATTCAGGGAAGTGTGGGCACAGGTAGGTGGGCAAACCTTTCTCTGTGCAGGGGAGTGAGCCTGGGCCCCCTGGAGCAGCAGGACACACACCTGAGGGACATTCTCCAACCCACCCAGGTACAGACCCCTCACCTCCAACAACACCTGCTCCTGTAAGGAATAGAAACTCTTATCTTTAATTAGCATTTCTCTTAATTAACACACAATTCAAACTTGCCTGTCCACAAAGTTTCATTCCCCACTGAACATTTTTTCCATGCTTTTTTCACCCTAACAAAAACATTGAAAAAGGAATAAATCCTGCAAGCAGCTTCATATTGACCTTTGTATCCCAAACCACTCTGAAGAAGGATCCACAAGAAAAATATCCCAGCTCTAAGGAGGCTCTTGAGCACACATTAAAATCAATGACATCCATACAAACAGCTTTTTCACCCCAAAAAAACCATTCCCATTTATAGTGCAGTTTCTCCATGTAAGCCTGGAAATAAACCGTAAGTCACACCAATGTTCAAACATAATCTTTTTATTTGTGGATAAAAATTAAGGCTCACAGTACTTTTATCATTTCACAAGCAGAAAAATGTTAAAAATTGAGACTGATGGGGAATGCCCCAATACAAATCCCTCTAACTGCTGACATGTTTTACTGAAGACTCGAGGTGAACAACTGTACAGGGCAGCTACAGGTATTAGTTTGTAAACTAGGTGCTAAATATAATTTTATTTTTTTTTAGAAATGTGAACAGAGGATGATGTTTCTCTCCACTTCTGGCTGTCCAGTACACATGAATCCCACAGAAACACTCAAGAACCGCTGGGATGATCACACCAACCTTCCTAAGAACAACCCACCACATCTACAATGCATGGCACAGGTGTCAAACAAAGGGAAAGGGAGCCAAAAGGGTCACAAATTCCATTTGAGTAAGACATTTTGATTTATAGTGCAATAGTTTATGCCTAAAATTCTCAAGAGTCAATTTTCTGGCTTGCAACAGAATACCAAAGCCAAGGGATGCTCCTAAAGAGCAAAGGGATTGCTGTCCACCTCCAGGAATGCAGCCTAGGTGATGGAAGGATCAAAGAGTGCATGGCAGACCTCAGTGTACAGGTAGACATTATGCCTATAGTTAAGATGCAGCTCCAAGGATGATTTTTTCCAAGGGTGCAACATGCAGGAAATAAGATTCCTGACCAGGTGTGTGGAACACCAGGTTCAACCACTCTGACTCTCAACCCAACGGCACCACTGTCACCACACACTGACCATGAGTTACATCAGAACTATTGGGACTAGACTCAGGTTCATCCTGAGTCCTCAGAGACAAAATAAGTGTATTGGTCAAAGCTGGGAAGGCTTTGGGGTTTGGGTTTCAGAGGTGCTCTGCGTTATTTGCATTATTTTTAGTGATTCCTTCAGCTTTGCCTTTTTGCTGTCAAGGCAACATGAGCCATGGCACAGCGAGGAGGAGTCTGTGTACAGCGAGAACAACTGAGAGCATAGAAGGCTGAGGGATTTCTGCATCACACCAACAGGATTCATTTCTTGTCACTGCACCCTTTAGATCTGAAATACCAACTCAGTAATGACAACAACTGTCCTCAACTTTTCCTAGCCAAACTTAAATGCACTCTGAGACCACAACTCTTAGGAGCTTTCTTTTGAGGTCAGCTTGTTCAACAGTGCTGGGACAGGTCCTGCCCCACCAAACACCCATTTACAGGGTTTAACCAACAGCTCCTACAGATCACCATCCAACAGCAAAGAACATTTGGACTGATAATCACTGACATCACCAAAAATTCATCCAAAGGGCTCAAAGAGGTTATGACAGGTGAAGGTGCACATCACCACCACCTTTTATCAAAGAGGCAACTGAGAGATCGGTTAAGCTCGATTTGCCCAAGCTACAAAGCCCTCCAGGAGCAGGGTTGGAGGGGGAGGCAGCACTCCCCGCTCCCAGTTACACCAGGCACTGGTGTGCTGCCCTGCTGCACCCCCATGTCCCCAGCAGGCCTCGGAGCAGAGGACTGGAACATGCCATCTCCTCCCTTACGTGAAAACCCACCCTCCAGTGACACAGGCAGCAGAATACATTTACACCAGTTGGCCACTTCCTCTGAGCAGAAATTAAACCCAATTTCCATAACGTGTGGGCAGTGAATGCAAGAAGAGGAAAATGCGTGCGACCAGAAATATGGAACAAACACCTTCAACATTATTCCAGTTCACAAATCTAGGCAAGGGGAGAGAGGAGCAGCTACAGCCAGGAAACACTCCATGTTATCCAACAGTTCAAACCAAGTACTTCACCCCATGATACTACAGTGATCTTGCACTGAATGAAACAAATGCTCAAACTAACAGAACAGGGATGAGAGGGATGAGCCTGGATCCACATTCCAGTTCCCCAAGTGGAGGTACCAGCAGGCACCCAGCAAGCTGTTCAGGCCTGAATCCTGTCCCAGACAGCAATGGCAGGACATGCTCAGGATTCTCAGGTGGATGGAAATTCCTTTGTCTTAGAACAACAGAAGAGCTCCATGTTCAGAGCATCCATCTCTCCAATTATTGCTTAACTACACCAACAGCAGAACACGAGTGATGGGAGGGATCTACATGGATCAGGGAGTCATCCCTGACCCCAGGACTCCACACTAACAACTATAATGACCTTACAGATCAAGCTAAGCACAATACATACCTCAAAAAGAATCCTGTAAAAGCAAATGTATAGAAAATAAACTGTCATCAAGTACAAGGAAAGCACATGGGCAGCAGGAACAGAGGGAGCCATGTCAGGGGACAGGAACAGGTTCACAGGTCCAGGAACTCTGGTGCAACAGCTGCACTCCCAGTTTGACACTTCCATCAGTCCCCAGAGCACATACAGACACTTTCCTGCCTGGACTTTGCCATCACAATCCACATCTGTCACTGACACATGAGGGAGCCAGGACAGACACATGGACAAGGGGAATGCCATGAGATTTCAGCATTGCTCAACGTTATTGCCATGGGCTAAGAGTGAAACCAATCTAGAACAAGTTAACAGCACACAACATACACAGGAACTCCACAACTCACCAGCACCCACCACTCCATTTGGCAAAATATTTATTCTTAGTAAATCCTTGGGAAGCAGTTGGTCACCAAGAACTCCTCGGACACTTTTCAGGCTGTAACAATGCTTTTGGTAGCAGTAAATAAAACTGTCTCTTTTTACAGTGTACAAAAACAAAGAGACACTGAAGTGACAGGTAACAGTAAACCACAGGGAAAGGGGGAGAAGGGGTAAGACAAAGGCAAAAGCAAGAGGAACCTGTCCCGCCTGGCAGTGCTGCCACGACTAGTTACCCGTACAATCCTCAGCCCCACGTCGGTGTCAGCCCCAGCACAGCTCTCAACTGCAGGTTTATGCTCCAGGAGAGGAATCTGATGCGATGTAGCAGCTTCAGTCACTCTTTCACAGTACTGCATGTCAACACTGGGAATGGTTTCTGATATGGTTTAGACTGCACACAGTACTTGGGTAGAAAAAGAGTTAGTTACTCCCACTCCGTAGTTCCTGGTGGCTTTGATGTCAAGTCATACATCACCCGAGAAATGCCAGGGATCTTCTTGATCTCTGCCACCATTTTCAACACAACCTGTGGTGGAGGGGAAAAGAAATATCAGAGAAAGGTGTGTAAAGCATCTGATGAAAATTAGCTGAGAAAAGCTTAAAGGAAAACTGCTCACGTTAATCCTGTTAGACATGAGAGGAAGAACCTATTTGCTATTAGCATATTGCCACCAATTAGGTAATAAAACCAACCAAAACCTCTGGCTCATGGTATCTGCAGTTATATTTGGGGCTTGCTGACTTTTGGTAGAGACTACACCAGGGTGTAGATCATAAAACACATCCCTCCAGGCAGCAGCTCTTCAGCTTCAAAGCTGCTTCTTGAGAGCTCAGAAGGAACACGCATTACTGTGTGTTACTATAAATCCCTTCCAGACTTCTCTCACCCCACCATCTCCAGCTGAACCTTCAAACACAGTGAAATCCTTTCCAAAATAAAAAAAGGTTGCTTTAAAGGTGGAAAAATAAGTAACACTCAAAAGAGGCATCCAAAGGAAAGAGTCTCCAGTGAGAGTTAATCTCCAGAGTTCACAATCACTCATGTCATCAAAAATACTCTAGATGAGAATTTGTTGATCCTCAAAGTTCACCTTCTTTAAAAATACCACAGTTCCCAATGCCACTTACAAGGCACTGTTTATCATGCAAACATAAATGAACAATCCATTGCTCTCCATGGAAAAACAGGACTATTTTCCCCATAAATATGATTATTCTCTACAATTTCTACTACTTTTTCCTGATATTATTACCTAAAAGTGACCATTTTTCATCCTGAAGAATGTGGGTTTTGTGGTGTTTACTTCTTTTTAAACATAAATTTTGAGGTCAAATGGATCCTCATCTGATATAATGAACCAGTTCACATGGTAACTTCACCTTGAATTATTCATTTTTTCATGGATAGGCTAAAGTAGAAGATTTCAATTACATACAACTACTAAGCAATGCTCTAATGCTCTTAATGTATGTTTAATCAAAGGTCAATCCTGTTCTTCATCCACAGTGTATTCCCAAAGTAATTGAAATTGGACATGGATAAAGTTTCCCAGAAAAATATGCCTGAACTTGACACCTAAATCCCTTTAGTGACCTAAACAGCAAACAGGACACTCAGAGATGTTAAACATCAAGTCCCAGTAAAACCGGAAGTGCCAATCAAGGGCAATTCTGTGAGCCAGGACATCTCCAATTACTAATGTACAAACCAATTCCCAAATCCCCGGGACAGTTGGATATTCTTTCTCTTTTAACTGATGGTTCTTTGGCTGAGCTCTCCTGCAAAGCCTTTAAGTTTGTCACACCCATCTGCCAGCTCCTCATTTTGCCTGTTTTTCCCCAAAAATACTACTATATTCTTCCTAATGGATGCTATGAAAAAGCTGCAAGAAAATACAAGTCAAGGGAAGACAAAGAGGAAAAAAAGTCCTAATGAGCCAGTATAACGTGAGCTGATGGTGCAAAGGAAGGTGGAGTCTTTCATTACCTCCTCTGGGACCTCATTGCCAGGAGTGGCTGCAATGCCAGTCATGAAGTCACTGGTGATGAAGGGTCTGATGACCACAGATCTCTGACAGGAGGGTTGTTTCTGGAGGGGGTCCCGGTCGAAATGCAGTGGGGTCAGGATTATTGGCATCTGGCTAATCTTTCCGGCGTAACCTTGGGACAACAGCAGGACAAAGGGCATCCACTTGGTTTGGAGTGTGATACAAGTCCTACAAATTCCCATATGCACTTCAAACTCTACTAGGAGCTGCTTTTACATCTTCTGGGATCTTCTTGCTGCTGCTATCACAGCCCAGAGATCTCACACAGTCCTGCACCACTACAGCTACTCAAATTAGCACTGGAGGCACTGGCACAGGTTGCCCAGAGCAGCTGTGGCTGCCCCATCCCTGGAGGTGTTCCTGGCCAGGCTGGATGGGGCTTAAAGCAACCTGAGGTAGCAGAAGGTGTCCCTGCCCATGGTCATTGGAATGAGATGGTCTTTAATGTCCTTTCCAACCCAAATCATTCTATGAGTCCTTAAATTGCCACTTGAAATCATCTTTGAAATGACCTTTGAAATGTCTTTCCAGGCATGCAGAAAAATCCCAAATAATCTGTGTTATCCCTGTAATTCACTGTGAATCAATTAAAGATTCACTGTCCTTCCCACTAAACAAAGCCATGGGGTTTTATCAAACCCTATAATAAACCAAATAAAGAGCCATTCAAAAAGTTCTCTGTCCTTGATGTACCCAAGGAAAGCTCTTCAGCACCCTCAAGGCTCGTGGCTGGCAGACAACTCCAGGTAATAACATTTCACTTATTTTGTTACTCTCTCCTTCCAAAAGGCACCACACACAGACCCCAGTTTCACTGTTTAGATGGTGTAGAAGCCTGAGGTTGAGGTGTGTGGCAGCTCCCAGTGCTACAGGCTCTGCTCCCCCTGCCAGCCTCGTCCTGAGCTCCTGCCATGAGGAGGTTTTCCTCACTCAATCCTAACTCCAGGCTTATTTTTAGGAGAGATTCATTCACACAAAGCCAAGTGTCACCAAAAGTTAGCGAGACACAACTACAGCTTTACCAACACAGCCAACAGTGTTAGCCTCAGCCTTCGGAGGTGAATTAGGGACCAGTTCTGCTCCGGAAGCTTTGCAAACTGAGTGTGGATTCTCCAAGACAGAGATTAGCTGGTGCAACTCGATGTATACAAAATAGAGGCAAGTTTGGTGCAGTGCTTCCCACACACAGTGCATCTCCTAAGGTAATTCAGTACAACAAACTCAGACTGAGCCTCAGCACTATTTATTCCCATGCTCTGTTCTGAACACTCCCTGGGTGTGCAGGGCTTGGGTTTATAAATACAGATTATAAATAAATCTTACCTGGTCTAGTGGGGAGGTGTCCCTGCCCAGGGCAGGGGGTTGGGACTAGATGATCTGTAAGGTCCATTCCAACCCCTAAAATTCTATGATTCTATGATTCAAGTCAGGCAATATGAAAGCACCACCAGGGATAAGCATCTTCACCATTGGAAGCTTAGCATTTCTGCTCCCTTTTTCCCCACAAAAAACCCACATTATTTAAAAACTATGTCAAGTTTCTTCACTTCAGGTAAATACTGAGGACCGAGATCAGCTAAGGGAAGGAATTTGGTTGATTTCCATCTGTGTGACAGTACTTTCGGCAGAGGTTTGCAGTGCAGTGAAGCACTACAGCTCTGAGTTTAATGACATGTCAGTCCCCAAAATACCCTAAAACTAATTCCAGTCCTTTATTTATCACCTCTTGCAGCTTTCACAAGAGGCTCTTGCCTGTCATCACATTAAATGATCACTTTGGAGATATTTGCTTATAGATTTTGACAGTCTCAGTGTAATTATATCCAGTAATGTTTGTAGGGAGGTGGGGGTCTGACCCATGGGGGAAGGAGAAGCACCTACCAGACTCCCTGAGAATGTTGTGAGCCTCAAAGTCAGCCTGACGTAAAGTGCTGAGGACTCCTGTGGTCAGGAACGTGGGGGTGACGTCTGTGGGGGGTTCTTTGACTGCTGGGCCAAACACATACACAACTCTGCAACAGGATGGAGGAAAAAACACATTTTACGTTCATAGAACACATCAAATTGCCTCCAGGCTGTATCCTTAGTGCTGCAGTGAGAAAACAGAAACAGAAAGAAAGCCTAATCTTTTATTTTGCTTCTGATTTCTAAGAGGAAAGTACCAAACCTCTCATCAAATATAAACCTTATTGTTAATGGAGAACTGTGCTATCAGCACAGGGCACTGCAAGCTACACATCTACAGAGCATCTGTAATAAAATAGCCCCTGGATTCAATCCAGGCACATCAGCTTTATCACTTCAATCTCACTCCTTGTGTTTCAGATGCTGCAGAACACAGAGCAGAGTTGGTGCTGTCTGAGTGGCCTCAGATTTACTGCAATGTGTTCACACGAGTTATTTGAGCTTGCAGACACAACCCAAGAATACTTGTCTAAAATCCAGAGCAGAAAAGTATGCAAGGTTTATATTCCGTATTTTTGCTTGCAGTACAAAGTCTGCTGGGCAGGAGACCAACTATTTCAGTGCCCTCCCCAGTGCCAGTCCCTCCAAACAGCAAACATCCCCTGGGAGCTCTGTCCCAGGGATGTGGGATGGGCAGGAGGGAAGGTTAAATCCAGAGGAGCTCAAAGCAGCCAGCAATGCTCTGAAACTGCACAGGCAATCCTGATTTAGACCTTCTTTTGTCCCCTCTGCACTTCATTTCAACAAGTCCCTTGCAAGTCGAGGTCTCACCTTTCAGGCTAATCTTTCTTTCTTTCAGTAAGTGTGACACAATTTAAGGTTTGTTCTAGGCAATTATGTGCACTTTCATCAGAAAGCTCAGGCAAGGAGGATATGGTTCTCCACAGCTGATTTAATGTCTAAGCAACTTCAACTGCTACAACAGTTATAGAACTGAATAGGTAGAAAGTGTAACCTCACAGAGAGCTCAGTGAAGATCAAACTGGCCAGCTCTGGAGCTCTCCTCATGCCACTGGAACTGACAGCCCCACACAAAACCCTTTCTGACACAGAGCAAAACCATACTGCAGGGCAGCACAGCTCAGCAGCAGGATGGAGTCTTGCATAAATGATTGTACATGAGTTACATGAGATGTTGTCTATCAAATGCTTAAAAGAATGAGCAGAGAGGCTATCAGTTTCTTTCCAAGCTAGAAATAAACCTCTATTTTGATTTATTGTGTATTTCTAACCTCCTATTATACCATAGATTTAAACAGGACAGTGCTTGTGCATGCTGAACTTTCATACATTAATTAGCTCATTAGAAATAGAGCTAACTGAATAGTTACCTGTTGATGTTGTGGCACATGCGTGGTATGAGCCTAGCCAGGAACATCAGGGACTCCCAGTGTGGAGCATCTTTGCTGGAGATCCCACAGACATAGCTGTAGGAACGGCAGTCACCCTGGGGGCAAAAACAACAACTGCATGTCAACATGCTGCTAAAACAGCTCACAGTGCTTTCCTGTTCATTCTGGAGGTTACAGGGACATGTTTGGGGCCAACATTTAGCAGACACTAAGGTAGTGCAATCAGCTGAGAGATACAAAGTGAACGAGGAAACAGAGAGCAAGATGACAGATCTTGGGAAAGGAAATATTCAGATGGGGCAAAGAGAGGGGCAAATGTATAAAAGGAAAGATTCAGCTAAGGTGACCAGGGAAGAGGAAGTGATTGTGTGTTGGCATTTTCACTACACCATCCAAGGAAGGCCTCTGACAAAGTACAGAAACCTGATGACACTGCAGCTGAAAACAGCAACAAAGCCAACTGCAAAGAGTCACAGAAGGCACACACAACATTAGGCAGCTGACAATAAAATAGCAGATGTAATTCAATGCTGGTAGTGCAGGGAAAGGTACTTTACAGCTATAACTGCTCAGCAAGGAAATCTTCCAAGTTATTGCACACAATTCCATGGGAATGCTGGCTCAGCACTTGTGCTTGGTTTGTGTTTCTGTCCCCAAAGGACAGAAATGCCCATGGCATTAGCAGAGGAGGGAAAGGGAAGGACACACCACTGCTATTCCTTTCCTGCCAGGGATAAGGATTAGTGCAATTCAAACCAGCACAGGAAAGGACAACAAGGATGTGCAAATGTAGGAACGATTTTTAACCAACTTAGTCTAGGACTCCTGAGCCTCAATGGAAGCAACAGCAGAGGTCAAGGAGATTGTGAATGTCATGCAAAAAGTGCCTGTGAGTTACCACCATCACTGAACATAGATCATGTCCTCAAACACAACACCTGAGTGTCTGTTCAGGTGTTCTGACACCTCTGCACTCCACCAACACTGACAAGGGACAACAGCATGGCTATCACACCCATCTGAAGTCCATCTTCTTGAGTCAAGCTCTTTATTCCACATCTTAAAGCAGCAAACAATGTTCCACCACAGCCTGCCACACCCCTAGGGAGAAGCTTCCAGAACACCCCTGGAATGCCTCCATTTACCTGCACTCCCACAGTTTTGATTGGTAGCAAGAAGGCATTCAGTGAATGTAGGCTTGTAATCTGCATCAGTTTCTCCTGGTCTTCTTCACTTGTGCAGGCTTTGACCCTTTGCAGCAGAGTATGTGGCTGTGCAAGGATGCAGGAAAAACACATTTCAATTAAATAAAGCTCCCAAGGACTCAAGCAGAACTTGCACTGTGCAAATAAAACTGTTATTTAAGCCGCTGTTTGCTTAACTGTAGCCTGCATTTACCCCTTGGAACTATTAAAAAATACATTTCATTTAACAATTAAATATTAAGCAAAAGCACTTTGATGTGATTAGTCTGTGTGAGGTTTAGGCTGAAGCTCCAAGGCCACAGTGAAGCTCTTTTTCCTATGCTCATTTTCTCTGTCACAAAGCTGCACTCTCTTTTTTTGCGGCACTACAATTCTATTTACATATGCTGTAAATACTTGCCCTTCAGGATTTTCCAAACCACTCTGGGAAGCTGTTTCAACCTTACACCTTAGAGCAGCCACTGCCGATGATTTTTCACCTCCCTATGGTTTAGTTCAAGGGAGCTTAGAGCCATCACAAAGGTCATGACAGTTAAGACACGTAGAATTTAAACAGCACCCGTTAGAAACTCCAGGTTTGGGTTCAGGACACCTGGCAAGCACTAGTTCCCCAAGATGCACTTCCATTTCCCCATTCACTGATTGATTGGGTGTGCAAACATAGAAAGTTACAATGATTCCAGGAAGAGAAGTTTTTTTCCCTGCTACTGTGTGAAATGAGTATCTCCAGAAACCTCATCTGCACAAAGTTTAACCACAACAACATTTATTTACTATTTGAAAGGTAAATAAACTTCCATTTTCCAGAAGTTGTTCAACAGTTGCATCAGTCACAATGCTAAAAATTCCACTGTACTGCACTAAACAGCTTCAAGTGAGCTGTGCTGGGATGCATCACTCCTTCAAGAGCACAAACTAGTTGTTTTAACCTCTTTGCAGCTTCAACCTCACTGCATACCACTACAGAACGATGAACACTGCTGCTATGGATAGTAAAATTCAGCATTTTGTTACCTTCTTAACACTTGCAGAGAAATCTGCAACTATTTTCAGGATGTTGTTTGTCTCTGGGAAGTCTTTGCACACATAAGGCTCTTCAGCACAGATCACTCTGATTGCTAGACCAGGACCTGCAAAGCAACATTGGGAAAAATTATACTAAACAACAGGAAGCAGATTTTCACCTAAAAATGTGGAACGGTCATTGAGTTCTGTGTATTTTGCTATTGTATCTATGCTTCAATTGCCTAAACACCCTACAAGACTAAAAATAGCAACCCACAAGCAGTTTATTCCAGAGGAATATTTCTGTTCAGTACATTTAAGCACCAATTACCTACACCTTAAATGCTCTGGGGGTGCACTGAAGCACTCCGTGGTGCTGAGGTGTGGTGGATGGAGAGCAAAAAAAGAACAGGAACCTCCTCTCTCCTTGTGCTGGGCAAGTGGGATGAGAGGGTATAATACACAGTGAGTCTCCACTGTTTTTAAAGAGCCCTGAGGGATACTTGACCTTTTAGGTACTCAATATAAAAGCCCATACAATGTGCTGGAAGTGGCTGAAGAGTTTCTTGCCTTCCTTGGGCTCTGGTGCATTAGCTCCCAGCCCACGTGCTCCGCTCTGCCAGTTCTAAAGCATATGGACAGAAAAAATGTTCCCCTCTGAAAAGGACATAATATAGATTTTGCTATATTATCTCCTCTGATGTTTTCTGGTGGAGAACTCTTGGTATTCTCCAGGCATTCACTTCCAAAGCAGCAAATGCCCCTTGGAAAGGCAGAGCCAGGCCAGGACACAGTGGCAGCTCAGGCAGTGCTCACTGCACTTTACTGACTATTCCTGCTTTGGCTTCTACACCTAAGAACATACAAATGTGGCAAATGCAATTATAAAATCCTTTTATTATGTATATTTATTAAGCCGCTCTCAAACCTTCTATACCTGAAAGAAGATTCTGCTTAAGTAAAACCCTTTTTCTCTATGTTTAGTGATCAGTTTTATACTCTCACACACCGACGCTAAGTATCTGCTAAAACAACACTGATGTGACCCATATCCCTTCACTAACAGCACAGACCATGTCCCATACCTGGGAAGGGATGCCTTGAAACCAGCTCTTCAGGCAGACCAAGCTCTCTTCCCAGCACTCGAACTTCATCTTTGTGAAAGTCTTTCAGTGGTTCTATTACTTTCCCCTTTGAAACAAAAGAGGCAATTTACGCTCCAGCTCACATGTGCGAACAAAAAGCCTCCAATGTTTAGGTTATCACAGCTAAATTGACCTGTTTCTCCCAGCATCAGCTGCTAATGCTTCCACAAACACTGGACAGCAATCCCATGTGAATGTGAGCTCTGTACAGCAGCTGCAGGTCAGAGGGTGAGACAAGGAAGCTTCAGTGTGTGCCAGAAGTACTCATGGCTCCTGCAGTGAGATATAGCTGTAAGGTCAAGCTGGCTCTGGATTCACAAATTCAGACCGTTCCTGTCTTCGCTGGATGTTCAAATCCATCTATAAGCCTTGAAAATACTTTGTGCAGGGACAGAAATTAGAAGTGTGGATTGTTAGTTCTCTTCTCTCCTGTGGGTCAGTACTTATTGCTAACTGAGCACCTTCTACCAGGGCTGTTATGTGATGATCCATCATTCTGTCTTTCATGTGTTGGCTCTTTCTTAGAGTATTTTATAACACAGTTGGAGAACTTACCATTCCAATGCCAGAAAAAGCAAACTAAGGCAGTCTCCTACATTTGATTCTACATCATCTCCTACAGTGACCCTGTAGGATTTGCTTCATATGCAAATACTTAAGAGCTCTGCACAGGAAAGATGCTCAAAAAGCCTTTCTGGACTTCAGACTAAACAAACCCTTTGATGGCTGCACCATCAAAGGGACAGGGCTTGGGCTGCCTGTCTACAGACAGTGCAATCCCATCACCTCCAAGCTCATCATTGTGGTCCACAGAAGTCCATGTTGGGCCATTAGGGAAAGGAATTTTGGGTTCTCCAATTGCCAGCTGGCAAACAGACTGTGCCACCAGAGTGCTGCTGGCAGATACCTGATCAGGTTACTAGAAAGGTGATGCACAAGATGCATGAGAATAGAAAGAACTCACCCCTGAGGTACCTGAAGGAATCAGCCCTAGATTTCAACCCATTTAAATGTGTTGTTCTCTCTCAAAAGAAAATACCGTACTTGCAGGGTTGAATGTTAGAAGAGATTGAGGAGAACTTTGCTCCTCTCTCAACAGGAGAAGATTCTCTTTTTTAAAGCACTGTCATTGCTCTTGCCTGAATGCATGATGTGCCAGATCTGGACTATCAGGACCTAAAGATTACTCACTGACTCATGTTCAGAATGAAATACAACAGCAGGAACAAGTGACCCATTACACCCTGAATTCCAGCTGAACCAGAATGAAGTTACTTGAAAAGCCTTAAACTCCTCTCTGGCTAAAGGCATTGGTTTTGCCCTGCTTCCTTACCACAACATAGGTTTGTTTGGAGGGTTAAAATGTGAAAGAGTGAGCAAACAGCTTTTGGGTTGCAGTTGAGAGCATCACTATTCACTGAATGAACCCACACTCAATCTGCTGACACCTTCCTCAGCATCCAGTGCTGGGCAATACCCTAACAATTTTGATTCCTTTGAGAATGCAGCAACTACAGAGAAGTGTAATAAACTACAGTACAATCTCACAGGCCTTGTCAGAGCAGAATCTCAGGACAGTTATACGTGTCCATTTACCTCCTCTCGTAGCTTCCGAACGAGTTCCGTGTCATTGTGGTGAGTTTTGATGACTTCAGCTTTGCCACTTGCCACGAGGGAAGCACTTTCAATGAGATCAGGTCTGAGGGTTCCCTGAGCCAGAAAAACCTCTTCAGGTTTCAGGTTCATTTCTCCAATAACTTCATTGGCAATCTATAGGGTGGAGAGAAAAAAGAGAAGTGTTCCGGTCTAGTTTTTGGCTGTCAAAGGTCTAAAGGAAGAGAATGAATTGCCCAAGAAATGATACTGAGCTGCAAAAGCACAATCAGGAAGACTAAGACTAAACAGGATGGCAAATCTAGTACAATGCTTGTGAACCATGTTGCGACCATTGATTGACTGTCAAAGGTTTTAGGCTTAGGGTAATGTCCCAATGGTTTCTTAGCTCATTGACAACTTACATATGCACAACTTACACACCCAGCAATCTGAGCTAAATGTATATATGTATCATATTATTTAATAAAAATCCCCAAACAACAAACTACAAATATTACCTTAACAAAGGTGTCACCAATGATTTTTCTCTTTTCTTCAGGACTTGTGGTCATGTTCAAGGTCTTGCTAATTCTTTTCCGTGGAGTTCTGTCCTCATCTGAGATGGGCAGAGTTGTTGTACCATTATAGAAGGAATGAGCTGCATTCACCACTGCAGAAAGTTACAGGGATTGTTGGACAAAGTCAGAGAGGATCTTTATACAGGTTGGAAAAAAATAAGTTTAAGTTTATTGCTTAAAAAAGAGAAAATAACAGTCAAAGGACTGCAATGATTTTTAACTGCAATTAAACAGTGCAATACCTCAAGAATTAGTTGTAACTAAAGCCTTTTATTTTTTCTTACTAACCGACTACTTTTTCTGTAGAGTGAGGTTAGACAACCACATGAAAGTTCAGTTCTTGCCTCCCTCCTTAGATGATAATTCATTGCTTTATTTAAGCCATTTACAGGACAGTGTTTCCCCAAGGCCTTTCTGCAACCAAAATTAAATGATGCACTATTTACTCATGCTACATTATGCCTCTTAATTTAGAGAGGCTCTCAACCCAGAGACCAGCTGGGAGGCTCTCTGGCATCCTTCACCAGCACTGAACTCCCCTGACCTACAGAAGGAGCATTTGCAGCAAAGGGATTCCCTCAGTTTGCTCCTCTGGCTGCCTGCCAGAGCCTAGGTTTACTGCTCCACAGGGTGCAAGGATAACACAGATTTTTCCACTAAAAATAGAGAGCAAAAATAAAATAAATTAACAAAATATGTAGAAACAAAGCTTAGACTTTGGTGCTTGAGGACACTGCTCCACTGCACTGAGTCAGTCAGGCCAGGGGAAAGCATTGCTCACCTAGTGCCACACTTCCTGACCAAAACACAGGAGAATCTCTTGACAACACACAGAACAGGCAGCTACTGCTCCTTAAATTAATGAACCAGGCAGTATAAACAGCTCTGGTTGTTAGCACAACTCAAACACACACAATGTGTCTCCTCTGACCTCCTCGTGCTTGAAGTGCAAGAACAACCCTGAACCTTCTCATCAGCCACGAGAAGGCACTTTCTGCTCTCCCATGAACTGCCTCACAGAATCAAAAAGGTTGGAAAAGATCTCCAAGATCATAAAGTCCAACCTGTGCCTGATCACCACCTTGTTCTCAACAAGCTCCTCCAAAATCAATTTAAATGCACCTATTTAAAGGCAAGGAGAGCAAGAAAAAATGCCTTGAAAAAGTGATTTTGAAATGAGCTCAGAGCTCAAAAAGAAAGAGATCCAACACAAAAGTTAAAGCCCCAGAGAAGTGTTAACCAAGACACTGGAGAAAACTGAAATCCAGGGAGTTTTGCAGCAGCTGAACAGGATCACTGAACCATCAGCAGAGAAGTGACTGAGCAGCAGTGACTGATGCAGAAATCCACTGCTCTGCCTTGCCCCAGCAGCAGATATGGAGCTCTGTAACTCCATAAGAGTTATAACAGATGTAGCTATTCATTGTATGCCTCAACCAAATGAGTAAGGCTTAACATTTTAGGTTCGAATGTTCGTGAAGACCCCTAGATGGCTCCAATCTCGCTTCGGTATGTGAAGTCTGAGAACAGCACATCAATAAAACAACACACTGAATCAAGATTCTGGGAAAACAGCAACATCATTGATGGTACAAGGCACATTTAACAGATTTATGGTACCTTTCACTTGAATACCAAGTTTTTTGAGTGCCTCTTCCACAGACTGACTCTCCCTCTTGCGCATGAACCCGTTGTCTATGTGCACCGCGATGACCTGGTCGCGGTTCAGAGCTCGGTTCAACAGGGCAGTGCACACTGTTGAGTCCACACCACCACTGAGCAGCACCTGGGGAGGAGGATAAATGGGAAAAATACCCCAAAAATTGGTCAGTTGTCTATCGGGAAGTGTTAACACAACTCAGACACAACCAGGAGGATGAGAACAGACTATTGACCTACAGTCAATGATTTGGAAGGAAACAAGATGACAAATGTGTTGACTCAACTGTGCAATTCTTCTAAAACCTGGAAAATGTATGACCCAAAATCATGGCAATTCTGCCTTTTCCAAATTAACCTGAGTAACTGTATCAGTGTCTCTGCAAATAAGCTCCAGCTTTGAATCAAGCCACTCACCAGGACTTTGGAGGAGCCCACTTTGTCCTTGATGTGCTGGATGCACTGCAGTTCTCTGTTTTCCACTGTGAAGGTACCACTGCATCCCGCAATGTCATAGAGGAAATTCTTCAGGATCATCTTCCCATTGACTGTGAGGCTCACCTCAGGGTGGAACTGTGCTCCATACAGCTTTTTGGACTCATTTGCTATGCCTTCATGAGGGCAAGGGAAGGAGCAGGACAAAAACATAAACCAACAGGTTGGAAGTGAAATGCCCGAGGAAGTGAAGCACACACTGGTTGAGCAATTTATTCTGCCACACGTTGGCACAAATCACCAATGAAAACTAAAGATCCTTGCTGAGATTAGGAATGAGGGTACTGTTCTATCTAGAACACACAATCCCTCAGAAAACAAGGAAAACACTCAGACATCCTAGAAAAACCAATGTGAAAACAGAAAAATCAATGAGTTTTTTCCTCTCCATGATGCCTCATCCAGCCCTGCAGCCAAGCATGCTGACCCAGCTGCATCCAAGGCTGGCCAAGCTGTGTCCCTGTCTGACTTAGGAGCAACATCATCAGCCTTTTATTTTAAACCTTTCATTAAACAAACTAAACCAGGAGAACACTCAGATCTCACTAAATGGCTCAGCACAATTAAGACCTCTCCAGGGCTCCCATCCCTGAGGAAAGAGACTCAAGGAAGCTGTTTGGGATTCAGACATTCCAGTGGCTTTCAAAACTCAAGTTCTAAGGTCCTAAGTGACAATCTGTGTGTATAAACCCTCCTTTCAGCACCAACATTACTCTTGCTCAGTTGTGCGCTCATGAAATATTAAATACAATAACAAGTTAATCAAGCTTTAATAATTAATTAAACAGTGTTCGAGCTGTACTATTACAGTGCAAAAACCAACCACCACTTGCACTCACACCACAGTACACATCTCCCTCTCCCCTGCCTTACGGGAATTTGATTTCAAAGAGAAATAACCCATGCATACTTTAAAATAAGCTATATAAATAATGCTACATTTTATTTTAACCACATTTAAATCAGGACCATTCCTTTTCAAGTCTATTTATTTACTGTCATGACAGCACAAGGTGCAAACATACACAAGAATTTGTTAAAAACAACTCACTGATTTGGCAATTAAATAAGATATTCTGTTCCCATTTGGTTCTAACTCTTGTCTGCTACAATTCTTTAATCAACATTACCAAAAGGAAATTTCAGGGAGAAAATAAATACCTGCTATAATGTTCCCAGACTGTGCCACCACTTTGAATCCATCAGCCACTTTATCCACACTGTCTCCGTGGGTGAGGAGCACAAGCTCTTCCTTCTGAAGGCCCCTAAACAAAGATTAAAAACTACATTCAATACCAAAAAGAACAAAGACCTAACCCCCTGCTTTCCAAGAGATGCCATGAGGGACCCCCATAAAAGCTGACTGACCAGGTCCATTTGAAATACATGCAGGATTTTCTTCCCTTGAAGGGCCACCTCTAACTCCAACTTGTCTCCCTTGGAAGCTGCATAAGTTCTTGCACAATACAACCTTCTTATTCTGAAGGGTTTGGGTTGGGTTTTTTCCTTATAAACACCCCAATATTGAGGTATCACCTCTTGGACACAGAGTCATCTGGAGTCAATCAGGTTACAAGGAATCATTTCAATGAAGCTCTTAATTCCAATTTCAGATCTTAATTCCAATGAATTAAAGTCTTCTTGTTCAAAACTACAAGTTTTCAGGCCAATTTGGATACCTCAGATTACAGACAGGGCATGAAGCTCCTCAGGAGCTCTACAGAGGGAAGTTGATAAAATGGGAAGACCAAGGATGAGCAAACAGTGAGATTCTACAAGGAACTTGAGAGGCAGCAACAAACCAACAAGAAATCTCACTCTGGTTTTATAAACCATCACAAAGCCATTTTAAAGGAAGGCAGAAAACAAATGGTTTGGCATTTTCCATGACTTTCCAAAATGGGATGGTGCCAAGCAGTTCAAGAGCACTGTGGAAGGAGACAAGAGCTTAACAAAAAGATCTCCCGTCATGGAGTGTCTCAGTGAAGACTTTCAAATTTGAAATAATGGGTTCACACAACATTCCAAGCAAATACTTAGGCATTTCTGGAGCCAACTGAGAAGTTCTGCCTAAGTATTTGCTTCAATGAGTAACTCGATGGCCACACTTGTAAAGGTGTTATTATTAGAAATTATCAGACAAGCATTGATGCAATTTCACTCTCTGCTTTAAAAAAAAACCTTTTTCCCACCCAGACAGCCTTTCCCAGACTATTCCCACTATTGCTTTGATAACTCAAACTGTCTCTGCACCTGAAGAGTGAACATGTGTTATCCAGAGTGATGTTGAACACTCCATCCTCTCGGACACTCTTCTTGTGCACTGTCCCTCCAAACACCTTGTTCATCATCTGGGAAACAATGGGAAACACTCCATGAAAAAGTACCACAGAGTCTGACATCACTTCACACCTCAGTCTGCCCACGACTGACAACACCTCAGTACACACCAACCTGATTCTGCACATTAAATTCATTTGGTTTTCCAATTATAAGAATCATAATTTTAATTTATAATAGAGAAACCAATAAATTGTAAAGTTTTTATTTTGTATTTAATCATATTTCTAGAATTTATAATACTTTATTTCAGTCTTTTAACATTTTTGTAATTTTTATTTTACTTTAATTTCCAGATTTATGACATTTTATTGAATTTAATATGATGTAATTTCCACAATTATAAGAATCATAATTTTAATTT